AAAAAAAAAAAAAATTTAAAGGGCAAAGGGCTGCAGTTGTGGCTCAGTGCAAAGGTCCTAAGTTCCATCCCTAGTAATGAGAAAGGACAGATGGATGGACAGACAAATGGAGGGTAGGCAGGGAGGGAAGAAAAGAAGGGGGAAAAAATAGATTAATGGTGAACTTTTATTTGGTTCTGGGGATGGAACCCAGGGCCTTGTGCATACATGGCAAGTGCTCTTCCACTAAGCCACATCCCCAGCCTGTGAATGGCCAACTTCAACTTATACGCTAAGTGAGATGAGCCAGACACAGCCACCTATGATTCCATTTACACAAACTGTTCAGCCAAATCTGCAGAGACAGACAGTAGATTAGCAGCTGCCAGGGACTGAGGGAAATGGACAGTGCTGTCACTGGACTTGGGATTTCTTTTTGGAATGAAGAAAATGACCCAGAATTAGATCAGAGTGACAGCTGCACAACCTAGTAACTATACTACGAAAGCCACTGACATGTACACTTCAATGAATTTTAGGGTAGGTGAATTACATATCAAATATATGTATTTTATAAAATATACCTAGTAACTGAGTGCTATTATGTTGAGAGGAAAAGGAAAAAGTTACTGTATATAACCCAAGTTCAACAGTAAAAACAGCAATCCTTGTCAAATGCTTTGTTCCTCCATTCTTCAGTAGTTTGAAAGGACTGGCTTATAATTCTACCATTATAGGTCAAGTTTGTTGGCATATGAAAATTACCAAGACTTTAGCCAGGTATGCCATGCCATGCTTGTAATCTCAGCACACAAGAGGCTGAGGCAGGAAGATCACCAAGTCCCTGGAAGAAACAACTTCCCGGGGGGACACTACCCGTTCAGGTCCCCCTCCTGTCCCTCTGTTGGACAGCTTTCTTTCTCTCAATAAATATATTCTGCTCATTAAAAAAAAAAAGGAAAATCACCAAGAGTTTAAGGACAGCCTAGGCTACATAGTGAGACCCTATATTCAAAAGCAAACCCAATGGGGCCAGGGAGATGGCTCAGTGGAATAAGTGCTTCCTTGGCAAGCGCAAAGGCCTGAGTTCAATCCCCGGTTCTGCCAAAAAAACAAACAAACAAAAAAACCCAAAAGCAAAATAGAACAACTGGAGCCTTTTATATTTCTTACCATTGTAGTTGGCTGCATCAGGATCATCCACACTAATGGCAATGACTTTCCAGTCAGTCTCCCCTTCGTCAATCATAGCCAGGATGCCCAGGACTTTCACCCGGATGATCTCGCCTCTTGCACACACCTGCAGGCCAACAGCCACAGTCAGGACAACCCTGCAGAATGCAACTCTGGGAGAAGAGCTTTACCCAGTAGGCAGGAGGAAATAAGTGCAACTGGAGCTTTCTGAACACCAGATGGCCTCTTGAAGGGAATGCACAGTTCACCAGTCTTTGTAGCATTAGGGCTGGAAATAGCTCCTGCCTTGTACGCACAAAGCTTTGAGTTTAGTCCCTACCGATACAACAAAACAAAAACTTGGACTTTTGAAAACTTGACCACAATTTTGTTAGTTGTTTACCATTTTTTAACCATTTTTAAAGGGATCATAAAGAAGTAACTACAATAAATATTTCGCTGAGACAGGGTCTCACTATGTAGCCCAGGCTGGCCTTGGATGCACAGTGATCCTCCTGCCTCAGCCTCCTGAGTGCTGGCATTACAGGTGTGGGCCACCATGCCTACCTCATAATCAAAACTTTAAAGCTACCCTGCTTAGTAGAAGAATCACCACCAGAAGTATCCAGCTCAGGTTATGTGGCTTGCGTCAACTCACTGGTCACTCCAAGGGGCAAGGTCTACACTGTGGTAATGAAACTCCACCTTCACCCCTAAGCAGTGTTCTATCTGTGAAAGCCACCTGAGCACACGCGCTGTGTGCGTGTCCAGTCCTCTGCAGACTGACATGGTTTTGTCCAAATGAGGTTACATATAGGAATGATAATGTATAAGAACTTAGAATCAAACAGAAGCTTTTATCAGCCAAAAGGACACACCTGTTTCACTATTATTTATATATATTTTATTCACAGTATTTTTAAAGTGAGAACTTGAGTATGTTTCACTCATACCATCTCAATACTATAGAGAAAAAACTATCAGCTTCATTACCTTGCTTCCAATTTCACAAACATCAATTGGGTCATTGTCACCACTACAGCCAGTATGTTTGTCACTGTGTCCTGGGTCTTCCCAAGTCTAAAAAATAAGGCTTAGATTTGTCATTTCTGTATATCCTGTTAACAAAAGGGAGCATGTTGATATTTCTGCAAAATGTTGGGCATTCAGCTACTCTTTAAGTTTTTTATTCACATTTCAGAATCTTAACTACACACAATAATTTCAATTAAATTCTAGAGTCCCTATTATATATGTAATACTAAACTGAATTTAAGGCACAATTACCAGAACAAATAAAAATCAACAACGTAATAAATCAGACAACACACAAACACAAATATATCTGGAACCAAATACTTTTATAAATACATTAAAATACAAGTGCTTTGATGAACTTGCTCTAGGTATTTACTGTCTTCTACACTAGATTTTCTTTATAACAAATCTGTAAAGCAGAAGTGGGTAGACAATAATATTAGAGTGGAAATAATATGTTCTGATGTTAAAAGCATTATTTTGTTAGTATTTGGGAGGCTGTGGCAGGAGGATCACTGTGAGCTTGGGGATACAGCTGAGGATACACAGAGCTCAAGCCCAGCCTGCACTACAAAGTGAGACATTGTCTCAACCGTGCCCCCCACCTCCACCCCCGAAAAAAACACTATTGTTGGCCAGGAGCCAAGACTGAAAACTTCAATCAGGATTTTCTGAAGTGTAAATAACTGGCTTTCTCTTTTTTTTTTTTGCTAAATTTTAGGCCAGAGTCCTGGCAGAGCATTTCAAAAAAGGGCTGAAGCCTGGGCTTGCCAACAAGTTTAATTTACAGAGCAGCTGTTGTTTAGGTTCTTCTTCCCCAACCATAACATATTTATGACTTGGACTTGCCTACCTATTCTGCTGAGTGAAGGCAAAAGGATAAAGGCCGAGGGCAGTAAAGGCAGGCCACATCCAAAAAGCCAACATTAAGAAAACAAAAGCCAACGTACAGAAGTGCATCAGCAATGTCTTCCCAAAGGGACAGTACTTCAAAGCTGCGTACTAAACAGCCAAAGCACAAGGTGAAGGGCTGGGATGACAGTGAATGACTGGCTTCTTTAACGAGCCAGGTGAGTCTGACTTGCACTTTATAACTTGTTCTAACTTGTCTCACAATAGGTTCCATTTAATGGACTTTAATGAATAGAAACAAATCATTTATCAATAGGAAAAGCTATGCTGAGCCTTTAGTAAGTGCCACAGTATTAGCCTAGCCAAACTAAAATTAAACCATCATATATTCATAAATACACATTTCTAATGACTCATTCAGACATTAAATATAAATAACCACCTACATATTGGTACAGTGCTAGGGATAAACTGAAAACCATGCAGATGTCCCTCCTCCTGGAAGGACTGTTTAAGAAAACCAGAACCCATGATTCCTTTTTTTGAGACAAAGTCTCACTGTACAGTTTACAGTTGCCATTGAAGTAAGTATGTAGCCCAGGCTGGCCTCAAACTCACAGTGATCGTCCTGCCTCAGCCTCCCAAGTGCCAGGGTTACAGGCTTGCGCCATCATGCCCAGCTCCATCAGTAGGATATCGCAAAGAGCTTAGCCTCAATAAGGAGAGAGCAGTGAATGTGTGTGTGCAGGAACAAAGTCCTTTCTTCATTCCTGAGCACTACTAATGTCTCAGAGTGGGGCACCAGGAGACATGCCCACCTGGGGCCACAATCAGTGCTGCTGACCACTCCTGCTACTCTATCTGATTTGCCACAGGATTTGTAAAAAACAATGCACACAGCTATAACTAGTCCACAGAAAGACAGCAACAGCTCACAAAAGAATAAACCTTCACATCTGAGTGCAGATACTGTAATTATTTACAAGTGAAACTAAAGACAGATGTGATCCAAAGAAGTCATAAGCCTGATTATCCTTTCCTATAATTTAAGAAACTGACCATAGTGAACGTTTTTTAAAGGTGATTAAATCTTACTTTTGCCAACAATAAGTTACAAAAAAGTACATTTTCTGCAAGTTAAATGAGGCATACCTGAGGGATGGCACCATAGTTCCAGATATACCCTTTATAAGGGAACAGATTTGCAACATAACGGAGTTTGCCCTTTTTCACATCTTGCTTAATTGGATTCAGAGGGTCCTTTGTAGCAATCT